CTTCTTTGCGAAGGATCTTTTTTTCTTTTAATTAAAGAAAAAAAAAGCTTAGTTGATTTTTTTAACAATTGAAATTCATTCTTTTATGGTGAAGTAGACTTGAAAAAAACATCTGATCGATCAAATTAACCTTTAGTTGGGATAAACACGAGGAAAAGATCAAGACAAAAGATCTTTTTTTTTTAACAATCAAATTTGTAAAGCTTATTCTTCTATGGTGATGTAGGTTTGAAAAAAACATTTAATCGATCAAATTGACCTTTGATCTGGGATGTATAGATAAATAAATGAATAAAAAACAAACCGATTCGCCTCTCGAATGTTTTTTATTCGCTTGCTTTCTGCATTAATATTAAAATCAAAAACAACAACAAACAAATAAACAAACAGCTTTTATTGCGAAAACATTAATTTTGTTCTTTTGGTGTTAATGATTGGATCGATCACACAAGTAGTAGTAGTCAATTTAAACAGCATTTTTTTTAAAGAATTATTCAAAATAATATTTAAATGTATAATGTTAATGATTTTTAATGTTGCAAAAAATTTTTTTTTGATACATCAATCTCAGTCCAAAATCAATCATATTTATATACTTTAAAGTTTCTTTGATAAATAATAAATTTATCTTTTGTTTATTTGTTTCAGTAGATTTTATTAGATCAAATCACATCAGCCGATTTGGTTTTTTGGATCCTTTTCTCAAACCCTACATCTTATTGTGTCTCTACGTTAAATACGTTAAACATGATGTGTAAACTGGTCAATAGAATGATAATTAACCCCAAAAAATTTATTTGCTCCGCCAAAAAAAACTATTTTACTATTCGATAGTCCGTCAAACCAAATGGCCTCCACCTCAAAACCAATGGGTTTTTGCTAGCATAAAGTATTCATAACGTTATGATCATACCGTACTGGATTTTGGGGTTCAAACAAAATCAGCGCATATGGACTACTCGATCAATGCACCATCTGGCCATGAAATAATTTATTTTATTAAAAATTACATCATTTATCATACGAATACATGATAGGATGCTGTGCTAATTTTGATACACCGAACTAATGTTGTTTGACGAAATGTTACCACATTTGTAACGTCAAATTCGCTGCCATAAAGTCAAAATAACGTAAGTAAAATCGCTATAAAATATAAAAGCTCACAAAAAAAAAAAAAACTATATAAATATTGTATATATTTCAAGGTTTTCTTTTCAATTTTCTTGTGAAACTTGTTTCATTAATTGTTCCCAAGGAGCCAAGTTTTGCTGAATACAAATTCAGTTCCCACACACTCATTTACTACTAAACTCGAACATTCCTTATATTAATAACGTGATACATTGTAAAATCATCGATTAGGGATTTGGCACTTTATTTATGTTCCAGGGTCAACTAATTTTAGTGTATCAAATGAAATTTACGCAAAAGCCTTTTATAATTATTACTGTGTAAATAATTATGGAAGTTTTTATAATATCAATATTGATTAATTAAGCTACTTGCGATAATAAACACAGCTCTATCTTTATCCTTATTGTAGTGATCAATAAAAATTTCATTAAGGATAACTTCTGGTATTCGCATAACTTCGGGTCCTCTCAGAGGAAAATAATACATTCTAATAAAATAAACCGTGATATAATCGTTATTTTTATTAAATAAAAATAATTGTCAATGAACTTTTAAAAATAAAATAAAAATAAAAACGTTGTCTTATTTTCTTTGTTTAAAGCGCTTTGATAAAAGCAACAAGTGTAGTTGGTGGAACTTTGGTAACAAGCCATGTTTATTTACTTTAGTGAGGAAGCAAGCAAGGTTAGGACTAACGTTGGTTAACTAGTGGGTGTTAATGAAGTAATATTATTGTAGTCGTAAACGTAAAGCCGTTGAACAAGCTACTTAAGTTGTCTTGCAAGTAAATCAAATCGAGTTTGCAATCTGTCAGCAAACGACTAAAACAAATCAATCACAAGTGAATAAAAAGAACTTAATAGCATTGCAAAAGGGCCATATTCAGCTATCTGGTTATTGTGAGTTATTAACCGACAAGGGTAACCCAAAAGTTGAGCCATAATTGTTAATTAGCCAAAATGATACCTCACAATATCATCATTCAACAAGAAAAGTTTATTATTTCAAAATATTAAGAAATAAAATAAGAATGAAATAAAAATAAATAAAAAGAAAATAATAAATTTATAGCAGAGACTAAATTAGTCATTCAACAATTCTTTTACTATTGTCACTAGAATCTAATGTTAATTAATTAATTAATTAATATCATTAGTAATAATCAATGATTAGTAATTTCAAATTAATTAATAATGAAAATTTATTCACCTTTGTTAACATTTTAGAAAAAAGAGTTACAATCAAGATTATTTAACGAACTATTACTTGTATAACTTTTAAAGCTTTTAGATTTAGCAATCTCTTCATCTAATATTCTACTTGTATGGTATGCATCTGGATGTGATTTGTGTGCTTGCTGCAAAGTACTACTATCACTGCTACTACTAGTAGTATTATTACTATCATAATTTTTAATAATTTCATCATGTTTATTTTTAGCAAATTCAAACAGCTCTTTACTAGTTGGTCTTTTTGATGGATCCACATCCCAACACCTCTGCATCATTTGCACATAATAATCAGGCATTCCAGGTAGTATTGGTGGTCTTAAACCTTCGCATATATCAAAAATCAAACGATGATTGTGAGCTCTATCATCAAATGGTGTATGGCCTGCAAATATTTCCCACATTAACATCCCAACACTATAAATATCAGTTTCTTTGGTGTTTTTTGTATCAATTTTACCTCTAAGTAGCTCGGGTGCAACATATGATACAATCCCATAGACTTTATTTGATGATTCATCATCAACTGGTCCACATAATCCCAAATCTGTAATATAACAACAACCTCCATTTATTAATATATTGCCACTATGTAAATCACAATGGATTAAATCTTTCTGATGTATATCATTTAATGCCCAACATAAATAACCAAAAATTCTAATTCTGTCTTTTAATGTTAAATTTTTTTTTGTAAATAACCCCTTAAATTTCCTTCTGATAAATAATTTAAAACTATTGCATAATTTCCATTATCTGGGAATTTAGTTATGCCATGACAATTAACAATCAACCCTGATTTAATTTTACAATAATTCACTGCCTATTGAACATAAAACAAATTAGTATTATATAATACAACATTGTTTTAAAAGACAACTACCAACCTCATCAAAAAAGCCTTTTCCTGGATTACTTGAATTGTTTAAACTTTTTAATACTACTCTCTGTCCACTACCTCCTAAATAACTAAATTCCTTTTTGTTTTCGTCGTAATCAAATATTCTTCCTCTTGTCCATGTGGTAGTAAAAATCGAACTAAATCCACCTTCTGTCAATTTTGTCACTTTTTTAAATTGTTCAAAAGGTATCCATTCTAAAATATAGTTTGGAAGAGATGGTTTCATTTGACATTGTTGAATAAAATCATCAATTATGTTATTTCCAGATGTCCAAGTGGTGAAAAGACTCTGTAATTGTAAACTAATACAGCCTTCACAGAACCTATCAGAGTATCTTGTCAATTTACACTTGTTACATTCTTTTGGTTTTCCCACTTTATCTCTTGCATTCTCTAATTCAAACTCATAAATAAACTTTTCTTTACAATATTCTTTTTCATTTTCAGAAAGCTCCTTGTTTTTTTTGACCAATAAAAAAAAAAAATCTTTTCTACTTTCTCTATCACAACTAATACTGGCATTATTACGCATTTCATTATTAATTTTACGCACAAAATTCTCTCTTTCTGGTGATAACGATGATAATAGTTTATTGTATGACATTATATAAAGATATAAAATATAAAATTCGACTTGGTGTTTGTTTTAATATTAATGAATATGAGATTTTTGTGTGATGTGTAACAAACAATTTTTTTCGTATATTTGATTGCCTTTAAAATCACCAGTCGATTTATCATGATTCAACAATAAAAAAAAATCTTTGAAGATTTAAAATTTATAAAAATAGAAAACAAAATTAAAACTTACAAATACATTCGATAAGTCGGTCATGTGGGGATGAGCACATATGACAGACTTATCGAGTAAACCGACTTATCGAATTAAATTACTTAAATATTAAGAAAAATTTTGGCCGACTTATCGCGAGACCGACTTATCGAGTTTACATATGTATGTACCAAAACCTGTCGTATGTGCTATGTAAAATTACCAACATTGATCAATCTATGCAACTTCAAACTCAGATACCAAAGACAGCTCAAGCACATTATTAATATTATTACGTATTACTATTACACATAGTTAACTTCAAAAGTCAAAAATTCTAAAAAAATCAATTTAATATGTATGTAAAGACAATTTGATTTTTTACATTTTATGAAATGTAATAATAAAGATTTGTAAAAAAGAAAAAGGCAAAAGTAAATAGTAAAAGTTCTAATTCAAATTATAACATTTGTAAACTTCCATGATAATTATTTTTCTTGCATCATTGAAATATACATGCAATGATCTAACAATTCTTTATTCATCCCCGGGACACATTTTTACATGATTTGGAACTTTTTATAATTCTATTTTATCATTATCATTATCATTATTGCTTGCTTGTATCAAGCGTTTTTACCTTTTATCAAACATTTTTACTTATGTCAAGTGTTTTTACTTACGTCAAGTGGTTTTCAAAAAATCTAATTTGATATTGATTTTTTCAACATCTCCTCAACTCAATATCAACACACCAACATGATCAATAGACTATATTATACAAAGTAACCATTTTCGTGAAACTGCAAATTCCTTTTTTTTATAGATAAAATTACCAAAAAGACATTAAATCCAACAACCAGTCCTGAATGTTGCACCGAACTGATTCGTTAATATAACATGATACAGTTACACAAATCATCACACGTAATAATATTCACAATATAAAAACATTTGAAAAATGACACCAACAGAAGAGTATTCGTTGAAATATGTTTATAGTAGTAAGGTAATTAATTAACCGATTAACTAGTCAATTTATTTAATTCAAACGACTGTCATTATTTTTATCTTAAAAAGGAACTTTTTTCACCATGGTAAAAAGGATCAAATTAAAGCCCCATTTTATGGTGTTAGTTTCAATAAATTTGACAATTCTGGTGACTCAAATTTTGCTATAGTTGGTGGCTCTACAGTATGAATATTTGTTATTTATTGTTATATTATTTAATATATTCATTTTATTAAATTTATTAAACATAATAATGATGATGATGATGATGATACCCTATTTAGATTATAGTCGTATCTATCGATGGTAGGAAATCTTCAGAACCGAATTTATATCAATATGAGCAGGTTAATGTAATTTTTATAAAGTCAATTTTCTCACTTTAATAAGGATAAATCTTTCATCTGATTAAAAAAAAAATTATTTTCTCAGGATATTGTTCCTTTAAAGGATCCTGAAAATTTTTATTGTTGTGCATGGATATATGATCAAGATACTGATTCACAATGGATTGCCGCTGGTGGATCTACAGGAATTATTAAAATCTTGGATGTTTGTACAGGACGTTTAATAAAGGTAATGATAATAATGATTATTATTATTATTATATTGTCATAAAAACTTTTTTAAATTTCTTTAAGCTAATTCCATCATCTGTCAAATGCATGAACAAGAAACTTATTGGACATGGAGATGTAAGTAGTTTGTCACAATCAATATTTTTTTACATACATACACACTAAATATTGAACTTTGGATTTTTGTTTGATCACTAAGGAAATTAATGAAATACAAAATCATCCAAGAGATACAAATTTGTTATTTTCAGGCAGTAAAGATTTTTCAATAAGACTATGGGATTTGAAAACATGTCAACCAATCGTGATATTTGGTGGCGAGTGTGGACATCGTGAACCGGTTTTAAGCATTGTAATTATATTCTCTTTTATATACATATTGAAATTTGTATTTAATTAATTTTCATGTGATATATATAATTGTTAGGATATACACATATCTGGTAATTTCTTAGCATCTGCTGGGATGGATCATGCAATAAAAATATGGACTTTGTGCACACCAATTATTCAAAATGCAATCGATGTATCTAAAAACAGTAAACCACAAAGATATAGCGGACAGTGTTGTACCACTGGTGATTATATTATAACACCACTTTTTGTGCATTTTCCAATATTCTCATCAATTGATATACACAACAATTATGTTGATTGTGTAAGGTGGTATGGCGATTATATATTGTCTAGATGTGCTGCGACAACTACTATAATAATGTGGAAACCAAAAATTAAATTGTCACCAGTCGAGGACAAGTCTACAATAACTAGTGTTGTTGTTGGGGGTCCAAGTAAGGTAAGTGATTGTTTAAACTTTATGAATTAGAGAAAATATGAGTAATACTTATACTACATTATTACATATATATCTATCTATATATTAATTAAAATTACAGCCCTCAACAAGTTATGATATTCATTGCGAATTAGATTTTGAAAATTGTGATATTTGGTTTCTACGTTTTACACTGTCACCTGATCAAGAGCAACTTGTCATCGGAAATCAAACAGGGGATATATTTTTATGGGACATGAATCAAATATCAAATGTTATTGCTAATTATACAAAGAAAAAGATATTTAAAATTTGTGGGAAAAAAACTGCCAAAGGCAAGAAAAAGAAAGGTAAAGATGTAGCAAACTCTGATTTATTAGAATGCATCAAGTATAATAGTAAGTATAGTGATACTACAATCAGACAAATTGCATTTTCAAAAAACAAACAATGGATGATTGCTGTATGTGAAGACGCGTCTATCTGTTGCTGGAAATTGGAACAAATAGTGTCATCTGATAATTTGGAAATTGACAACAATGACAATAATGATGATGATAACGACAATAACGATGACGACAATGACTATAATGATGATGACAATGAAATGATAACATAGATAAATTAGAAAAATTATATTATGTATTATATACATGATATTTGTAATAATTTCACAATAAAAATTAAATTATTATTATTGATTCATTATCCAATTATAATTAATAATGATAATTTCATTTAAACTTTCTTTTCATATATAGTTTATAATAATCAAAAATGTTTTTATACATGCTTGAATACAAAATTATAAAGAATCCTACTTTTATTTTTATTTCGTGGAATAATTAATTTGATTTTTTTTTTTGTTTTAATTGTATATAGTAATAGGATTTTGAAGGATAAAAATTAGCAGAGTTTATATTACAAACTGGAACTATTTCATTTACCATTAGCAAAAAAAAATTTTATACCACTTCTCTTTCTCGGTTTTCTTTTAACTTTCTTGAAATATCTATTAATCCTTGGATAATTGATGTTGTCAAATAGATTTTAGGTTTTCTCCTATAATTGTTATTGCATGATTTAAAGATGACATTTATGTTATTTGATTGTGATATATTATTTGATCATTTGTAAGTAAATGTTATTTTTATTTATTATTTGAGAAATTTAATTTAATTTAATATGGATTATTATTCCACAATATCCATTTTACAATCATCTTATATATACAATGATGACCACAATTAAAAACAAAGAAGATAAGCGAGAAAAGGAAAAAGAGGAAATTGCCCAAAGATAAAAAAATAATGGTAAAGATGTTGATGGCAAATCTTTAGAAAAGGAGAAATTTATAACCTGAAAAAATTTCATGATAAATGTCTATTATCACAACTAGTTGTGAATTTAATCCTGTTCATTTTCATTTCATTAATAATATATTAAATGTAATCGACACAATAATTGACATCATTGTCCCTAAACCTACAAAACAAAACAAATAAATGAAAATATTTTTTTCAGCAAATTTAATAAAAATTAATGAATCCCTAATGGAGATGTTTATTATGAACCATTGGTCGTCAATCATCATATTGTTTAAAAACGATTAAAAGTTCGTGTTTCAAAAATATAATGTCGATCAACACGTAAAAAATAATCGCAACGTTAAATAATGGAAAATACAGATGTAACAAATTTTACTCGAATGGATTTAATTCAATTTGCTAGCGATGAGTTAATTACGATTGAACCATTCTTTAATTCAAGAAAGTTCACAATTTCCGGAGTAAATAACTATCAATTTTATTAATCTATTTAATCAATACACCAATATTAGTTAATAATATTTATTATATATAATTGATTTTAGAAAGAGTTTGGACCTTTTAATCCACCTAAAAAAGCTCAAGTGCCATTATGGGCAGCCTTAATGTTGAAAGAAAAGAAAGTTTGTAAGATCATACAACCTGATTGGTTAACTGTTGGTTAGTTTAATGAATAACAGATTCTCATGTATTTCAATATGTACTCACATTGTATATTATAAATATATATTTTTATTAGAGAATCTAGACATAAGGTCAAAAGAGGAAAAGCCAGAAAGTGCTTTTGCTGATTTACCATACTGGTATAATGAAATTTCAAGTATTTTATTAAAAAAGTAAGTATTCTTTTATAATAATATACATACATACATGATCAATTAATTAATTTATTATATACAAAAGAGCTGAAGATGATTTAGAAAATCCAAATCAAATAAGATATTTACTACAAGGACTTAAAGAAAAACGTGAAATGAAAATAAGACAGGGTTTATTGGGGTTGGATCCTTCAATTCGTCAGGTAAAATTTTATATTTGCTTTTTTCTTTTCTTTAAAAGACGATAGGAGAGAGATGATACTAATATACTGTATATATTATCTATGTATCGGGAACAATTATATAGATGAAAAGTATAGGAGCAAATGAAATTCATTCAATGAGACCTATGTTTACTAAAACTTTTGATAAATTGAGAATAATCAATCAAATTAATCACAACGATAATAATGATATTAATAATGAAAGAAATGGAAGATAAAAAACGTTAAAATTTTATTTTGTTCATGGAAAAAGATTAATTAGCAGATTAATAATTAAATAAATAATTTATCATAAATATAAATGTGCATGAATAAATTATATTAAGTGCCGAGAGTATAAATTTTTAGATTATTAGCAATTCTTTTATCCAGTTTTGGTTCAGAAAGTTCATCTTTAAAAAACATTTCTTCGTCTTTTCCAAAATCCAAATCTTCATTTTTAAAATCTCTTGTTTTCCCCAATACTATTCCGACAGCCTCTTCGCCGGCAATTTCAAAATTTTTATACGAATTAAAAAAATGATAAACTCTTAAAGGAAAATTTTTCCAACCTATTCTATTATAAAAATGAATATATCCAACTTGATCAACTTTTGGAATTGAAAATTCTTCTTCATTAAATTGTATTTCTTGAGTCGATTTATTGATTTGCTTTTTTAAAGAAGTTGGATTATTATTATTATTATTATCATTATTATCATCTTCTTTTTGTTGTGGTTGATCTTTTGATGTAACCAAATTTTCTTGATTCTCCTGTTTGGTGGAATCATCAGCGGGTTGTTCCAGTGAAGAAAAACATCCTTGATTTAATCCTTCAAGAAATTCCACCCAACCAACACGACCAACAACAATAATCCCACCATCCCCAACTCTATTTAATGATGATGGATCCTTGTTGTCGGTATTTGAAGAAAGATCACGACGTTTTTGTATTATTTCTTCACATACTTTGGATTTTAATTCTCCGCGTCGTGCGCCTTCAACTACTTCATAATCTAATGCAGCAGCAACAAGAATTGGCTGACTTGTCAACAAAAAAAAAAAAATAACAAGACATTATTATAAATAATTAGATAAATAAAAAAATGTGTTAATAATAATTAAAAAGTCTTTTTATTTTATATTTTCACCTTTACATATTCCCTGAAATATTCTCTTGTTTTATACAATCCATCACCTACTGGTGGTGCCAAATATATAAATACTTTTCTAGGCAGTTCATGCACACCCAATGGTTCTAAAGCTAAGTGAGAAACTCTATCTTGAACGTTTTTTTTTGCTTCTTTTGATAAAACATTATCACGATAAATTAAACCTGAAATTCCAATGCATGTTCCAAAAAATGTCATTACTTTTTTGGATGGTAATTTAAAAGATTTTAATTTAAACGACATTTTTTTTGTTTTTTTTTGAAAATCAAATTTTATGAATTAGATAATCTAAAAAAGTTTTATCCAGCCAATCAATTTTATGTATATATTACATTAGATAAATAATGTTTTTTCTCTCCAAAAAAATGTTTAGAAAATATTTTAATTCAAAAATTTATAATTTTTTATTTATAAAAAATCATAATAAATATTTAATTCACAATAACATTAATAATAATAATTATGATGGACTTTTTTTTTATTCAATGATTAATTTGAAAAAAATTAAATTTCTTAAAAAAAATTCGAAAAAATTCAAATCAATCATAAATAACAATTATACTACTACTAATAATAATCCTAATAATAATAAAATTGTAATTTCTGCCGCACCTACATCAGCTACTACATTAACAACACCCACAACAACACCAACGACAACAACAATTGAAGCATCAAAATCATCTTCAATATCATCATCAAAAATTATAGATAATAATTTCTTTAGTTCAAATGCAGTTTCAAAGTTAACAGCGTTTAAACTTATCAAAGTCTACAAAGACCTTACAAAAGCCAGACTAGCAGCTCTTGTGATATTAACTACAATGTGTGGATACGCAATGGCACCAATGGCAACTGATTTGAGTTGTCTTTTTGCCACAACGATCGGTACAGGATTATGCGTGTCATCAGCCAACACAGTTAATCAGTTAATGGAAGCACCATATGATGCTTTGATGTCCAGAACCAAGGGCAGAGTTCTAGTTAGAAGATTGATTTCACCATTTCATGCTATAACATTCGGTACAATAACAGGTTTAACCGGCGTAGGAATTTTATATTTTATGGTGAATCCATTGACAGCAGCATTAGGCGCAACTAATATTTTTATATATACAAGTGTTTACACACCATGCAAAAGGTTATCAATAACCAATACCTGGGTAGGTTCCATAGTAGGTGCTATACCACCTATGATGGGTTGGACTGCATGTACCGACAGTTTAGATTTTGGTGCACTTTTACTGGGCTCAATACTTTTTGCTTGGCAATTTCCACATTTCAATTCACTGGCATGGAATATGAGATTTGATTATGCCAAAGCTGATTATAAAATGATGGTGATAAACAATCCAAAATTGAATAGTAGAGTCTCGCTGAGATATAGCATCTTGTTGTTTCCATTGAGCTATATGTTCTCATATATCGGACTAACTACTTGGTGGTTTGCTTTAGATTCAACTTTAATAAATTCCTTATTACTTTCAGCATCCTATAAATTTTGGAGAAACTCAAATGATAAAACTGCAAGAGACTTGTTTTTTAAAAGTTTGGTACATCTGCCTGTATTGTTAGCTTTGATGATGGCTCATAAAAAAGATTGGAGAAGTGCTAATGAAGAAGAATTGAAAAAAGAGATTGAGAAAGCTTTAATGGAATTAGAAGAAACACAAAAAAATAAAGAATGAAAATTTTTTCTTTTTGTTTGTAAAAATAAATATTATTGTAATTTGTTTGATTATTAAAGAATTTTTTTTATATTATTAATAGATTTATATGTGTATACTATTATTGTTATCATATATATATATATATATATATATATTATTATTATTTTATACATGAAGTCTTTTAAATTGACTTTCAAGGTTTTGTAAATCCCAAATAACTATTCTTCCATCTAATCCACTAGTTGATACACTTTCAACATTATCATTGGGCCCACTATGAACACGAATTGATCTATAATAAAAATAAAAATAATCATTAGATCTATTTCAAATAAATATATAAAGAAATAAAGAAACAAATAAATTTTAAAATTACGTGATGGTGTTTTGATGAATTGTAAATTTTGAATCATCAGAATGGCTTGAAGTTCCACGTGTATCCATATCACGAAATCTATTAAAGGCTGTAGATTCACCTACAACTTTTTTCTTTCCAACATCAATCACTTTGGAAAATTTCCTAAAATAATAGATTTAGAATTAACCAACACCAAATAATAAATTTTTATTTTGAAAATTATCAAATTAATCTTTTTTTGCACAAACCATTCTTGATTATCTTGTCTTTCAAATAATGCTGGTGCACAATCATAACCTGCTGCCAATAATTTATCTTCAGAAAGCCAAACTAAACTTAAATATGGTAAATTTGTAACCCTAATTTTTTGAACACCAACACCTGGATAAACAATACTAAGTTGTGAATCATGACCTGATTTTAATGCATTCATTATTATTGTAATTTAATTTCCATAATATTAAAGTTTTTATTAATAAATTATTTAGTGAATTATTAAATAAAAAAAATTTCAAACAATATATTTCTCAATTAAATTGCCAACTAACCAGTAAATGCTAATGCATCACCACTAGGTGAAAATGAAACACTGTGAATCCAACCTCCACCACCATTTGAATATTCTCCGCAAACTGTGTTAAATGGAAATTTATTACCCCAAGCTGTAGAGGCTGGCCTAATCAAATTTATAAATAAAATCATATTTAAACACATTTATATTAAATTTTACTTGTATCAAAATTATACATATCTAAAATGATGTTTGGATAAATTACTTTTGATCAACACCCTTAATAAATGCAGATAAAACATATGCCTAAAAAAATTTTTTTGATGCCTCATCAATAAAAATATTATAACACATAATCTTATATAATCATATAAACAATATTCTTTCTTAACTTACCTTGAAGTCAGCACAACCAGCTGCTATAATAACATTATTTGGATGCCAGTCAAGACTCAAAACAGTACTCCTTATTGGTCTCTTGAGAAGTTTAGCAGTCCACCAATCATATTCTTCATCAAAATAACAAATGGATATTGAACGTGCTCCAGATGCAACAGCAAATTTGTCTTCTTTGGGTGACCATCGAACAAATGTAGCTGCTCGATTAATTCTTAACAGAACTAAAGTTGGTTTCCATTTGTTTGTGGCTGCATCAAGTTTCCATACATATGCATTACGATCTTGAGAACATGTAACTTTAAAAAAAAACAATTTAATTATTAATCGATTAGTTAATTGACAATATATTCATATAAATTTTAATTTAAAAACATGATAAAAACCTAATTGATTAGTTTCAGGTGCCCAATCGATACTTGTAATAAGTTTATCATGCTAAATAATATTGATTTTTTAAATTTTTTTAAAAAATGATTTAAAAAAAATATTTCTTTTGATATTCTACAAACCTCAACCAATGTATGAATTAAATCCCAATTTCCACTAGACTTTTGATAAATTTGTACTTCGTTGTTATTTGGACAGATGGCAACCTCTATTTTCAAAAAAATTAATTTCATGTTAAATGTGTGGCATTACAACAAATTCTTATATTGCATATTATACATGAGGTTGATTTAATTTTTAGTAAACCTACGAGTTCTATCTTTATTAAAAGAGTAAGCTGTAATAGGTCCAAAATTGAATTGATGGATTTCATTTGGTCGAGTCATTTTTGTAGAAAATAAATATTAATACTAATCTTTGCAAAATTGCTGTGTAATTTTTATGTGATACTAATTCCTTTTCAAGCAGCAATTTCATTTTGGACTAAAAAATACCAAGTTTCTTGAATATATAATTCACTTGTCAACAAATATGGAACTCTTGAAAAGAATATAAGATATCCTCATTAATTAATTGAAAATAATTAACTAAAAATAAAAGGTGTAAGAAATACAATCTTTGCATGAGATAGATTAGCTAAAGATAAAACAAATCCTTCTGTAAAACGGTGTCTTAAATCATATTGATATTAATTATTATAATTTTTTTTATAAAAATTAAATTCATAATATTCATAATTCTCGAATATTACATTTCTAATCCTATCAAACTAGTCAAATAATTAAAACATTTAATTTCCAATTGAAATATAATTGAAAAAGTAATTCCCTCTCCAAATATTTTACCCAAAGATAATATTATCGATAATGATAGTGGAAGAAAAATCAGGTTGATTATATAGTGAAGAGATGAAGGAAAATTAAATCCAGGAATGATACTTATCTAATAGTAACTAAATCACAATTATAAAAATTACAAGAATTATTACTATTAAATACTAATAAAATATTATAAACTTTGTTGTTGTTATCACAGAAATGAAACATGTTATAACTTCATCAATTACATGTCCTAAGATCACTTTTTAGTGATCCTTTGTCATAGTAATAGTAATAGTGGTTATATCCGTCGAATATTCGGATCCGAATACTCAATCGTCAAATAATTCCAATACCAATATCCGAATATTCAGTCAGTTCATCAGTTTGATATCCGAATATCCGTCGATATTAATATTAATATACAGTCAAACCTCGTTTCAACGAATTACAATCAAATTCTTGCGGAGGATTTTTAAAATTTTCGCTTTACACATAAAAACATAAAATTCGTTTAAACGCGATTAGTAATTTTGGTATAACGAATTTTAGATGCAATTTTCTTATGTGTCCCCATGGGTGATTCATTGACTATAGTCAGATAGAAAAATTATCACAGTCAAACCTCGTTTCAACGGATCTAAGGGACTGAGATAATGATCGACACAGGCATAATATTTTTTTACGTGCTTTTTTTAATTTCGCTTGATAAGAATTTGGATCAATTTCAAGCTATCCATTAGACTCTTTCAATCATTAACTTGGCTTATGCTAATGTTGTATTTTTGTGTCAACTTAATATCCTTTGGTTAAGGTTTAGCTTGTTTCAGTAAATATAATTCGCATTTTTGTTCAGCGGTAATATATAGGAAGAAAAAGATGATAGTTGTTGAGACATTTATAATTTATAGAATTTAAAGGAATCAAAGAAACTATTAATTGTACAGAATCATTTATTTATTATCAATCAATAAAGAATACATATACATTTAGAAGAGAGTTGAATCTTTAATTAAAACAATAGTAAGGTTGCTTTTTAGATAATTTTATTTGAAGAATTATTAGCGTAAAATCATTATTAGAAATATGATTAATATTGTTTAATATATTTTTTTTTGGAAATTTGAGAATTGTTCGTGTAGGAATTTTAATTTTTTTAAGGAATAACTTTGCATATCACGTGAATCCATTGTAACGAGATTAGTATTTATTGCTAAATCCTACCAAAAAATTCATTTTCCGTTGAAACGGGAGTTTTTAATAAAAACAAGTGCAAGGGCCAAGACAAAAATCTGTTGAAACGAAAGTTCGACTATATTACTTATCCAACATTTTATAACAACAATAAAAGATAATTTCTACTTTATTTTATTTATTTATTAGTCAAGAATTTTTCTACATCAATCATGTTTTTTTTTTAAAAAAAAAATTTTCGTTCAAAGAATTGAATGAGCTTTGTTCTTTTAGCTGTCAATGTGTTACCAGCATCACTGAAAAATCGCTCACTTGGTGTAAAAGTAGCAGATACACATAAATATTTTTTTGTAATTTTAGTTAAAGTAGGAAAATCTTTCTTTGGTTATAAATCCCATGATAACTAAATTTTAGTTTAAAAGAATTTATCTATTTAAAAATTTTTTTTATATAGTCGCAGATATTCACGGATACTAATATCTGACGGATATAACCTCTACTTTGTTGTTTGTATGCGTCTCGTGTAATTTTACCTTTAGAACAATTGCTAATAAAAAAAACGAGCTCTAAATTTTCTATTAAATTGTCACGTGATTTGCACTACCATTTTATAAAATTAGATGGTAGATCAAAATTGATCAAAAATTTTTTAACGCGTTTTTTCTGTGCTGTTCTCTATCATTAAAGCTTTCATCATCTAATATTGACAACCCAAATCTTTGGTAGTTAAATTAGGTGAATAATTTACTTGATTTAATTAAATTTCGGGATTATAAATATATAATTTTTTTTAGTACAAATATCACTACTATAATCACAATAATGATGCAGGTTTTTGGTCGAAACTACCTCATTTAGTAGCTGAAGTTGCAGAAACATTTTGGGCAAAAATTAATTTTTTATATGTCCAACTATTTTTTATTAATATATAGTTTTTCATGTTCATATAAAAAATATCGAGAAGCGCAAACTATTGCCAAAGCTACTTTTTTCAAAAATAGTTTGGACCAGAAGCCTTAATGATGACACAAAAAATCATGATTATTTCATGCTAAAGTTGTGGGAAACTTTCAAAAATATTATTAAATAATAATAACAGCAAGCAAGGAGCCAGAGAAAATTATTTGTACCACTGATGATGTCCCACTCAATAATGAAACAAACTGGATAAGACTGACAGCTAATTTTAAAAATGCTTGTTTATTGTGCTGCTACTATGGGCACTATCATTATGAATGCCCAAATCTTTTACACAGCTATCATGGAAATTGGCACACATGTTGGCTTAATAATGATAGTACTCGTTCAAAATTTTAAGCTCAATTCCGTTCAGACAAGGATTTATTGATTCAGATATTTTATTTCAAATCACTACAACTAATAATAAGAATAATTAATAACTACAACTAATAATAATAATTAACAACAACAACAACAACAACTCTCACACTCTTGAACACACACTCACTTTCAATAATCACTTTTTTCTTTTTTGAAAGTGGAATTCATTTCCTCTTCCTTATTTTAAAAAAAAATCATTTGGCATTGGTCAATGAATATTTTTTTCTTTTTTAAAATTATTTCTTCTTTTTCTAAATAAACTACCACATTGTGCCTTTGAATATTATGCACATAAATTTCATGTTTCCAGGTTTTCTAGGATTTTGTCAATTATTTCCGAAAAAACGTTTTAATTTGACTTAAAGAATGGTTTATAGCTCCATTAAAAAGTTTTTCTGGTGGAGAGTTAGTGTTTCAATTAAAAAGAAGACATGTAACTTACCTTATCTTCTAAAATAAATTGACATTAGTATATAATAGAAACGCACATGTATCACTCCGATTATACAAGGCGGCGAACTTTCATTTTGGTGTCAAGTAGACTATTTATATGTTTTACATATAATAAATTAGACTAATTGACCACAAAAATGGCCTATTATATTAATAATTACATCATTTGCACATTTATTGATCAATGCAAGACAGTTGGTACCATTTGTTATCTAAAATAAAATTTTGAGATTAGCAATGTATGAAATATATTTTTGGCACTAGGTTGGAGATGGCAAGTGTATGTTTTGGTAATAGTCTTTGAAATAGCTGTTTGTAAAATAACAATTAAAAAAAATAAAAACTCTGACCAAAATTTTTTTCCAAAAATATATTTCTGACAAAAAAAAATTTAAAGCAACTTGAGTTCTTTGACACGTGATAACAAGCGTCTTCAATAAATACCTATTTTGTTTGAATTTTTTGTAAACAAACATCATTTTTAATAAATGTTTGGACAATTCCTTTGAAAAATTTTGAACTCAAAATGTCATCCTTAAATAAAAGTCAACGTAGTGAAATCATTGGTCTATATAAAAAGAATGTACCAAACCACAAAATGACTAAAATTGTTGGTGTCCCTAGAAAAACAGTGGCTTGTACTATTCAAAATTACATTGATGGAAAAGACCTTGTCACAAAAATCAATGTGGCCAAATTAATCAATGTCCTAATTAAATTGATTGAGAGTATGCCAAGGAGAGCTGAAGGAGTAATTGAAAATAATGGATGGCCAACGAAAGATTATCGAATTTTAAATTTTTTGGTATGATTACTATTGTGTATGTTTTTCATTGATCATTTTTTTTAATCATTAGTTTAACAAAAATGTTAAAGATGTGAATATTTGCATATATAATTTGGTGAAGTATTGTTTTTTGTTTAAAAATGTGCCTGACTTTTTATATAGGGAGTGTATAGTTACTTGTTGCTTAATAAAATGTCTAATTATATAATAAAAGTTACTCAGATGATTAATGCATGATTTAATGAGTTTCATGCCCACAACTAATACCATAGAAGTATTTGTTCGAATATTTGAAATGAAATTCGAAGAGCAAAAATTTCAAAAATCCGTTATTATTATAATAATAATAAGAACAAATTTATTAATAAAATCCGTTATGCCATTGTAACAAGAAATCCTCTGTGGCGAGGTCCATTGTGATGAGGTTTGACTGTAAATCCTATGTATGAAAAAACTTCTTAATGTTGGAGAAAATTTCAAAAGAGAAAACCGAATTTAACACAGCTTGCTTGGAAGAATATGCAAAATGATAATATACATGCCATGCAAGATAGTAATAGTAAATTGAGGACCAACTTGGATTCCAATTGTTGCATTTTATATCATGACAACATCAATGACGCATTTTGGCATTTAATATTAGTAATTAATAATAGTCATTCATTATTAATCATTCTATTTATTATATTCTATTGGACAAAATCATGTAAAAAAGTCATACACTTAAAATTTACTTCAATTTTTTAATAACATACATTTGATAATAAAAACTGTAATTAATTAATAAAGTTGG